GGGAGGCGCAGGCAGGGCGGACAGGCGAGATGGCTGTGGCGCAAGAGCATCGTGCTTCTGGAGAGGCCGAGACGGGGCCGAGAGCCAGAGAGACCGATCGCTGCATCCGCTGGCCCCTGTCGGAGCGCTCCCTGCGCTGGGGCATCTTCTCTCTAACGCTCTTCTTTTCCTTCCTCCAATTTTGCCCCTTCACCTTCTTCTCCTTTCTCTCCTCTCCTTTGCCCTTCCTTTCCCTAAGTTTCGAGGACTCCACCTTGTCCACAGCCACTACCCTTGAGTATATCCCCACCTCAGCAGGCGACCCCAAATGCCAGAGGCCCCGCACGCTCATACGCCAGCAAAGTCTGCAACAGCCCCTCAGCCAGCACCAGCGGGCCAACCACAGCCAGCCCACCACCAGCCAGAGCCTGGGCCACCTCCAGGCTCACAGTGGCTCCTCCTCTGGCACTGGCAACCCCCGGGGCTACCGTGGTGGCCAGGCGCGCCAAGGCATCGCTGCTGGCTCCAAGCATCGGACGGCAGGAGGCCGGAGCCGCTCCAATCCCGGCAGCTGGGACCATGTGGTGGGGCAAATTCGGAACCGAGGCTTGGACATGAAGTCCTTTCTGTAAGTCTTCTCTTGTTTCTCTGTCCTTTGCTCTCTCCTCCTGCTGTTTGCTCTCTTGGCTAGCAGCAGCGCCCCGTGCAGTGCCATGCTGCGTGTGGCCCTTGGGAGTATGGTCATGGGAAGATCCAGATCCCCTCCGGCTCTATCACCTCCTCTCGAGCAGCTGAAGGCAGGCAGAGGGATGGGTGTCCCCCACCATCGGTGGTTTGGGAGATGTTTCGTACGCTCCCCGAGTTAGCCGGGCCACGTTTGCTTTGCATGAGAGCTTCGCTGCGAGTCACCTGCCGCATCGCTGACCAACACAGCTGCCTTTGCAGAAGGGGCTTGGTGCTCCCAGGGTCCCTTTTGGTCTATGGTGGGGTCAGGGGAGTCTCCTGGACTGCAGGACATAATATGGAGTCCTCACCCCATGGGCATAGCGGGAAAGGTCTTGCCTGACCCTCATAAAATACCGGGAGGCTCAGATCTGTCCTCAGGCTCCTTGGCTGCCTTGCTAATGTGAAAATGGCATGAATCGCAGCCTGGTAGGATGTTTGGGTTGCGCACCCAAGAAGCTGGGCCATCGTTAGGTGCTCTCCCCACAGCCTTGCCTGCAGGTGGTGAGACATTGCCCCGGGGACGAATTTTCCACCTTGTGGAGCAGCTGCCGGGCATGTGTCCCCGGGATTGTGGAAGCGATGTCCCCTGAGGAGGAGGGGGAGGCAGCCTTGCTGACAGTGCCCCTCGCGCTGGGGTGACTGTCTGTTCAGCCCCGATATCATCTGCCTATCAGTCTCTGCTCTGCCTCTGCTGTGATCTGCAAATGCAGCTTTGTTGGAGCCGCTTGAAGCGTGTGATCTTTAATCTGTCTTAAATGTATCTCCTATCAGTGGTGGCTTTTAATCTCAAATGCTGCACATGACATTGTCACTCCTTCTTAGAGCAAGTCCTCTGCTCCCCACCCTCCATGGTGTCTTCACCCGTCCCTGCCAGCCTCCATTCACTCCGCAGGATCCCAGGAAAGGGGATGCCCCAGGTCACGGTTGCCCTCCTTGCAAAGGGGGACAGCAGGCCAGATCCCATCCTTGTGTCAGTCCGCACAGCTCCTTTGGCATCAGGGTTAAGTCAGAAAGACCAGGCCCTGGGAGATGTGAGTTTGGTTACCCGCTCTGCTACCAACTCCTCTGGGCAGCCCTGGTAAAATCATTTAATCTGCCTCCTATCTGCAGGGGCAGCCCAAATTATCCTGCACTGGAGCCTCTACCATCTTCACCCAGCAGACACAAGCCGTTGCTCCAGCCTTGCTAACCCTGGTAGCCACCTTCCTCGTTGTTGGCCGATGCGTGATTAACCACAGCCCGTTCCCAGAGTGTTCCCACCCTTTCTCCACGTGCGCATCGCTGGGGAGTCTCTGCCTCCTGGCCTCTCCCTGAGAGATGTTCATAGCAAGCTCCATTTGCTGCCTTCCTGATTTATAGATGAATCTCATTAGCTATCCTGAGGGTCATATTCCTCTCTGTTTACTCAGCATCATTACTGGTTCCAGCCTTAATTGGCAGGGGCGAGAGTATCCGCAGAGCAGGGATGTGCAGAGCAATTGTGCTGTTTCCCCATGGAGGAGTTGCTGCCATTTACCACCGTTGCTTTTCAAAGCCATTAACTTTGCTTTTGCTCTTTATTCTGTTTACCATCCTACCTCACTCCCCTGTGCTGCAATGCAAATGCAGCCACGAGCCTGGGGAGGCCGTGCTAACTGGGTGGCGTCATCTGCTAGGCGCCCCTTAGGGGAAAGACTGCGTCCCAGAGCCTCTGGAGGGTGAAAATAAGGCAGCGAATGCTCCTGGAGTGAGGAGGGAGCCAGGTGTCTTGAGCCCTGCCCCATACTCCATCCATGGGAGGAAGAGGATCAGACGCAGCCCCGGCACTTTTTATGCCCCCAAAGCAATCCCTTCACTAGCGGGCCTGGCATTTGGCCTCCAAAGGCAGGCAGCGAGGATTCATAAAGGAGAAGGGAGAGCATTTGGGAGGTGACTGTCCCTGATATGCTCGGCTCTGCTTCCCTCTAGAGCTGGGGGCAGGGAGGTGTCTCTGCCCAGGGCTTTGCTTGCTGCTGGTAGCCATCTCCGCCAGGAGTTTCTCTAGTCTCACTGTACTGGTGCCTCTGAGCCCTCTGCAGCACCTGTGGTGGGGGATCCCCGGTTCTCCTGGGTGCCATACAGCAAACCCCTGTCTGTCCATTGCTGCTGCTTCACGCTGCTCTGCCTTCACGTCTCCCAGGTCTTCCCACATCTCCTCTCAGGAGGCAGGCTCCTGTCCCTCCTCTGTTTTCATGCGGACATCATCCGTCATCGCTCGTCATGCTCCCTGCCTCTCTTGGCACCTTTTTCCCCCCTGGGTAGCACTTTGACATCTCCTCATCCCAGTGACGTCTCCAAGCAGGGCAGAGCCCACAAGTGCTGTTCCAGGGCTGAGGAACGTGGTGTGCAGCCTTTCCAAGGAGCAGGACGGCGCCTGGCTGGGTCCCAGCCTGGACTCACCTCCCGCCATGGATACCGTGGGAAGGGGAGAGGGGTGGCCACAGCCGCATGAGACCACAAAACGTTGTGGGGGCTTGCTGTGCCAGGGCCAGCAGCCTCTGGCCATGCAGCCCCGTCCGTCTTCCAACCAAGGTCAAAGAGCCCTTTGGAGTCAGCCCTCTGTTCAGCAGCAGGCACCAGCCTCCGATCAGAGCTGACACTGTGCCCAGCAGCCTGGTCCTCAGTGTGACAGGCAACACGTGTCCCCTGCTTCATCTGGCCAGCCCAGCTTGAGAGGTGAGCAGCCCTGGGCAGCTCTGGGGGCGCTGCACACTCCCAGCATGATCCAGCTGGGTCCCCGGCTCCCGAGCATCCTCTCCTTGGGGGCAGAAGAAGGAATGTGGTTGGCCTGGGCCCATAACGCTCCTTTCTGGGAGCCTCCAGCCTTTCTCCCCATCCAGCCTCCGAACCCCAATGCCTTTGTACGCTTTCCCTTTCTCTCTCTGCGGTGAGGCTTTGGTGCTGTTTCTCCTCCAGCTTCCCTGTCTGATGCTTTGTTCTCCTCTCTCTCTTTCTCTCCTGTTTTGCGTCCTCCTCCCCACATGTGGGACCACCTGGGCAGGGAAGGCCGGATGGTCGTGTTATCCCTGGTTTTGGGACTCTCAGAGCAAGATGACTTTGCCAATATCCCCGACCTGCAGCCCGCTGGGACAGAGCCGAACCAGCCGAACGCTCAGGGGGACAAGAGGTATGAGTAAGGAAGAGGGCAGTCCTGCAGGAGGAGGCGACGAGGGCCTCACCCAGGGTTGGAGGAGGAGGAGGCTGGCCTCATGGAGCGTGAAGGTTGGAGCGGCACAGGGTGGCACATCAGGCAGCCCGGGCACCGGGCACGGTGACGTTTGCAGACGCTGGCAGCTCCCCCCCACCTCCGGTGCCCACGAGGGGGAGGTGCTCCTCCCCCTGGAGTCGCTACACTGAGCGGACCCCCAACCCTTTCTGTCTCCCTCCCTGCCTTCCCGCCTTCCCTCCTTCCCTTCCCCATCCTCATCCACCTCCATCTCGTCCCGCGCTGTGTGCATGCTGGTGGGATGCGTGCTTGGGGGGCAGCTGGGCTCACGGCCTTGGCCATAGCCCATGGAGGGAGGGAGTGGGACAGGAGAGAGATCCCTGGCCTGGGAGAAGGGACAACTCGGCCACGGGCTGGCTGGTCTTGCAGGAGACTCCCAGAAGTTGCCACGTTTGCAGAGACAGCATCTCCCCCCCGCCTCGAGGGTTATTCGTGCATTGCCCCCAGGCTTTGCGCTGTGCTGCTGAAACCTGGAGCCCAGTAGAGGCCGTTTGCCGTTGCCCCTGTATGGGGCCAGGTCTCCTTCAGCCCCACAGACCTGCCCGTGGCAGCTGCTTGTCAGCCAGCTGGGTGGTGGGCAGCCG